TTTTTTTCCAAAGGACTTTTTTTGGTCTTATTTTTACTATTTTCTTTTTTTGGTACCGGGAATCGAACTCGGGGCCTCGCGCTTGCTAGGCAGGCGCTGCGCCATCGAGCCACATCCCCGGCCCTTATTTGTTTTTAATATTTAATGTGCACTTGAGATTTTGTTTTAAGAGCATGTTCTGTGTCTGAATGAAAGAAAGAAGAAAGGAAAAGAAAGGGAATAAAAGGTGAATGGAAAACAAAAGGAAGAGAATATTTTTGGGAGCTTGACCAGGCCCTTGATCTTCTAAAATAAGTGTATAGTGAAAGCTTAAATAGAAGAGATGAGAGATTGGGTGTGGGGGCACACGCCTGTAATCCTAGCTCTTGGGAGGATGAAAACAGGAGAATCAGTACTAATCTGATCTATGTAGTGAGACTCTGTATACCCTGTACCAGATACATATTAAAAAAAAAAAAACCAAAAAAACAAAACCAAACCAAAACAAAAACAGACAAGTAAAAGGATTTTTGGGAGTCAGGAAGGTCAGAATTCTCTTGGAGCTAAGAGAAAGACTTGTGTGGATTGCCCATGTTTATTGGATTTCAAATAAATTTGGGGTGCATGAGGAAAAATGAAGGGAAAAGCTGAGGTGAGCTGAGCAGGACCTGGAGAAGTTAGAACAAAGACTTTTCTAGCAGCAGATTTTGCCAATTAAGAGAACTGTCTAATCCATGAGGTTGAATTATGACCCTAGAATTGGGGTGAGAGCGAAATGTCTGCTGCTGCCTCAGGTGTGGTGCTTTCTTGTCTTCAGAGCACTGTGGTCAGCAGCTTAACCTTTACAGCCCGTGATTCCCAATAGATCAGGAGAAAGCTGGAGAGGTACTTAGTCCAGAGGCCTAGTTCAGTGTCTAGAAGAGTTGGGTTGGATACATAATTTTTCAATAGTACTTGATCCGCTCAGAGATCTGCTTTGATGGAATGGCATTGGAGTGATGGGCACTACTGACCTGTCAAGGCCAGTTCACTCATCTTTCCTTCAGCGTACCACAGTTCAGGCAGAACAAAACATGTGTTTTTATCACGCTGCCTGCTTGCCCTTTTTTTTCCTCTAGAAGGTTGATTGAATTTGACTGGATAAAATGACTTGTTTTATCAGACAGCCTTTCAACGCTAACAGGTCAAGTTTTTTTTAATATAACTCTTCTGTGAATTAATTTACTTTATAGGCTAAAGGAAAAAATAATTTTCAGTTCAACTAGTTTCTTTTGGATTTATTGATGAAGCATAATTTATCTTAATTAGATTAAGTTGTATGTTTATTGACACAATTTAATTTGTTCCACTAATCTAGAAAATTATTTTCAATCTGATGTCATTTCTTTTTCAGCTTGTGAAGCTTTGTATTGTGATGATTGATACTGGAAAAGCCTTTTGCGTTGCAAATAAACAGTTCATGAATGGAATCCGAGACCTAGCACAGTACTCGAGTAATGATGCTGTAGTTGAGGTTGGTATTACTAAATTTTAAAGTGATAAATGCAAAAGAATTATATGCTGGGGATTTAGCTCAGCTACATAGTAAGGGGGTGGGAGAGAATTGTGTATCTGTTTATCTTATTCATAGTTATGGAGTACTTAGAAGTAGAAAAATTGTGGCCCCTTGGTGTATTGCATAATCCTCTTGTCTATCATAGTAACATGAAAAGTTGATGTGCATTGTGCACATGCAGCCTCGCTCTCCTCACGTTGCTTCTCAGTGTCTGCCCAGTTCACTGAATCCTCTGTTGCTGGGGGGTGGGAAGAGGAGAGAGGTGGCTGCAGTGTCTGCCCAAGGGGACAGTGAGGGAAAGTGAGGTCCTGATGCTGAGCATGCCTGAGCTAGTGGGGCTGTCCTAGGTAGTATGTGTTATTGTTTATAGTACAACCTGCACTTTCTGTCAGAAATGCTAATGTAACATTTTTGTGGCTTAATTTTCTGGCTCTTAAATGACTTGATTTTCTTTTTTTTTTTCCTTTTCATAGACAAGTTTGACCAAGTTTTCTGACAGCCTCCAAGAAATGATAAATTTTCACACAGTAAGTGTTAGTAAGTAGGTGTTATACTATGATTATGTTAGCATTTTAGTACTTATCTTAAGTGGCAGTATTTCATGGAATGATTACATTGAATTTAATGAATGATTGGTCAACAGCCCTTTGGTTGAGTCTATCTAAATGTACTTTGCGTATATGTATGTATTTTATTTTTTAGTCTAATATAGTGAACTTAATATCCATGCAGTAGATACCCATTAAACATGTTTTCTTTAAATTCTTTGCTGATTTTTTTAAGCATTTAAAGATAAAGAATTAAGTAATTTTAAATTTGTGTTTCTTTTAACGTACCTACAAATATATCCCCTTTACCAGATCAGTTGCCAATATCAATTTATATATGTGTTTAAAATTTGGAGGCATTTATCTTTGAAGGATATCTATTACTTTTTTTAAAAAAACTTTTTAAACTTTTTAAAATTTTTATTTACTTATTTACTTAGGTTTTGCAGAACCGGGGATTGAACTCAGGCCCTTGCACTTGCCAGGCAAGAGCTTATTCTACTGAGCTATCTCCCCGGCACATCTATTACTTTTGGAACATCATGAAATTTCTTAAATTATCAAAAGTTTATAAGCTACTGAAAATATAGTAGCCTATAAGTTATATACTTCTGATGTTTAGCACCTTTTAATCTTTTATTTATGTATTTATTTAATATAGGGTCTTGCTATGCAGCTTGGACTCATAGTGGCCCTCCCATCTCAGCCTCTGTAAAGCTGGGATTACAGGCATGGGACCAGCACGGGATGCGGTATCAGGGATCGAACCCGGGTCCTTGCACTTGCCAGGCAGGCACTTAGACTGCCGAGCTATCTCCTCAGTCCTTATGTTTTTTTTAAAAAAGCTAATATGGCTGTCATAATAAATTTTGAAGCAGTGAATTAGCAGCTGTCTATTCATGAGTATCAGTACTTACATTCTTTATAAAAATCAACTAATTTTTGATTCTTTAATTTGATCTTATTTTTATTGCTCAGTATACTTAGGAGAAGTTATATGCCAATATTTATCTTAGTTGTAGTTCAAATTTTGCTGTACCAAAAATGACAAGCAGAAGCATCTACTTAAGTGCCTGTTTTCAGTATTCAAGTTTATACCTAGGTGGAATTGCTAGTTCATACAGCAATTCTTTTTTCTTTTTCTTTTTCTTTTTTTTTTTGGTGGAACCGGGGATTGAACTCAGAT